GTGCGCGTGGTCATCCGCTAACACTGATCCGAGGAGTGCTGATGGAAAAAGTGGGAAAGAATTACTAATAATAATAATAGCATTGAGAAAATACATTTCTTGCTCTGGTGCTCTCGGAAGTACTATTTTTCGGAACTCGTTCATTTGCTGATTCGTCAGTGGGGTGACTGCAGGTCGGATGGCTCTTATATGCATTGCGTGACTTACTACGTAAATCATCTAAGGCAATGTAGCTCTGCTTGTAAAACCCGAAATACTTAGATGCCTACAATATAAATCCAAAAGCCTGTTTAAACGCTCTACTCAGAATGCTATTGATGGCGTTGTGATTGTTTTGGATCAGTCCGGCCAGCTTTGCTCTGCTTATTTTATGGCCATCAAATATGTTTATAGTTTCGCCACTTAGGGAACCAGTCTCTCTCGAATGTGGTTGTGTTCAATCAGAGTCCGCCAGCTGCAGGACACTACCTATTAGGAACCACTGCTCCCGCAATGTAAGATGAAGATATATAACGCTACAGCCCTACACTCTTATGGGAAACTGCTTTCAGCTAAATATTTTCCAGATCAAATTAACAATGCTCCAAAAAGTACTAAGCGAGCAGCATGCCATGTCACTTATTTCCTCTTTCTTGGTCTGCTGCTCTGACCAACAGCTAAGCCTACGTACACTTCAACTCCGAAATGTTTTGGCATTTTCTTTTGTCGCCGATTCCACCTACGGGTTGCAGAAATACATAGGTCGGTAGAGCAAGGTGGGCAGCGGAGCCCAGGCTCTAGACGAAGCAGGGAGCCTGCCGAGATCGAGACCTACAACATTCTTCGGGCTTCTCACATTTTACCATACAAGTCCAGCCTATAAGACGGTAAGGTGAACATAGGAATGATATATTATAGAGAGCTTCAATCGCATCTTCTGAAAATATAATGGGATTAAAGCCTTTTAGAGAAAATATTGTCAAAAGCTTCGTCATCCCTATCCGCTCAAGAGGCTTATGGGCTTTGCATGCCCCATGGACTTCTGGCTTTACGACAAAACGAGCACCGAGTTTCTACGGGTAAATTAGTCAAGCTCTTGTTTTTTAGTTAATTTTCGCGTACACGGTACAAGTATGAGTGGAAACGTTCCGCTACGTTATCCTTTAGCGATAACCACGCTCGATTCATGATGACTGAAGAGCTTTGAGCTCTTACTCGCTTTGGAATTCTCCGAAGGACATTCGGACTAAGCTTGACGTTCGCCAGCACTCGGCGAAGAGGGAGTAGCTTCCTTGTGTACTCAAATCGGCAACGTCATGTTTGTTTACGCGCGAACTGGTTACTCTAGCTAAACAAGCAGACGCCTGTAATTGTGCTGGAGAAAGGCTGAAAACGGCAGATAGTCTTTTCGGAAATATGGACAATTAATTGTTGTATTTATGCTTTCTGTTGAAAAAAAACGCTCCATCAGCTTGCAGTGGGTGTGAATTACATTTGCTTGTTTTTAACTGTAACGTATTTGTAGTCAACCACAATAAAGCGCCCATTTTTCGATACATTACAATGGCTACTAGCCAAAGCCAAGTGACTGAGCAAATGATAAAAATGGCTTTAGATTTTCTGTAACATTAGCTTATTCATCTGCTTATTCATTTGCTATTTTGTCCTAGTAAAATAAATTAAGTAAATCTTGACATTGTTTCCTGTCGCCTGTTGTACATATGTACTAAAAAAAAACATGTGGCTATCGTGCAGAATAGGTTCCTTCCGTAGAATAGGTTCATCCTTTTTCCGTTTGACGATAAACCTAGTACGTTGCAAGTATAATACGGTCAGACAATGTGTTTATATCTTTCGACAAACAGAAGTGTAAAATATTGTCTTTGATAGGCTATCTGTATTTAGTAAGAGAAAAAAATTATATATATATATATATATATATATATATATATATATATAGTACGGGTTGTATCGTGGGTAACGTAATTATACGCACGAAAAGAACTCGACGTCTGAAATGCCCCAACTCCCATGTTTACTAGATTCGTTGAAATACGTGCATTGAATTCAGGGGGCAATTTTGTCGATGTAGGCAAATTGGATTCAGAAATATGCAGCTAGCCCGAAACCAAACGCCCAATATGTCTCGGACTTTATATACATAAGTTACATAATAGAATAGAATCCATAATTTGAATAGTACCCTTATTTTGCGGCAGATGGTGTCTGTTTGTATCCAAAGATTTCTAAGCTCAAGTATAACTTACGTTATTTATCATTGACTTTAGTAAACCTATTTGGAAAAACGCTTTCAACTTACTGGTTAATGGTTAAAACCCACTGCATGGACCGCAGTAATCCTTTTTCCACAGTTTCAGCAAGCTTAAGCGAAATAGATCCATATTTATATAGAAAAACACTGCAATAAACAAGTACTTTTGTAAATTTCCCAATAATGCATGTGTTGACCTGGTATTTAAAGCCAATGGGTTGGTCACACACATTCTGTGAAATTTGTTTGCTTCATTGTGTTTACATTTACAATATATAGACAGAACAGCGGTATGTTGGCTTTATAAATAAGGTTATGCGTTTGTGCGATTTTCAAATTTGCAAATAAAAACAATTTATCGGCCTGCATTTTCGCGTTTCTAAGCATATAAGTCCAAAACCTCTTCAGGGACAGGTTGGACCAGGGTACAAAATCCGACTGACAGATTTACTAAATTGTTATAAGGATCTCGTAGATGTACTTTGTAGATTCTCCTGCTTGTCACCACGTCATCGTATCCTTCGGTCCTTTTGTATAATATATCATAGTCTAGGACGTTCTTCTAGTTACATTATTTTAATCAAAAAATAATATATATATAAAATAAAAAAGAAAATAAAGCTTTATCCCATAAAGGTTTTAATGGTCATTTAAGATATAATGTCAAAGTGTCGTGTGTCAGCTCTTTAATTTTTAGTAAACGATTACATTGGAGATACTTACTTAGAAGGAAGTTGGTGAAGTTCGGTGCTTTGCCTTTAGTGTGTAGAATGAAAACAAACCTACGATCTTTTTGCCAAGGACCAAATACATGTCGTATTCATCGACAGATGCGCCATTGAAAACTGAGTAAAAGTAAAAAATAGCCTATTTATTATGCTAGCATCTACTCGAGCTGTTAAAGAAGCCAGCCGCTCTCGCTCAACTGAATAATTTGGCCCAGTGTCGCGTGCAAGGTAATAATGAAAAAAAAAAAAAAAAAAAAGAAATAATAGTAATCAACGTACGGGGGCATAGATGGCGCACACAGCTGGACGTTGTTGTTGGCTAATGGTAATAGAGCGAGGGAAGCACGCCTGCGAAATAACGCCATAACTATTTGTGGAAAATTAAGAACATCGCATTCAAGTGAATAGGTCGTTTAAAACAAGCTTCGTAAACAAATAAAGGAGATACCTCCTACTTAGACTAAATTCGATATTTATAAGAAAATATAATAACATACATTTAATCTTTTACATTGTACAACAGTAAGCGTCTGCCGGGCTACACGAAGAGATAGTCTCTCGTATAGTGCCCAATTGAAACATTTGCATACACAATCATCTTGACAGTATGTTTTTCACGTCTCCCAGCGACCTTGGTACAGCGGCCTCACGACGCCGCCTCGTCCAAAAACACGAGATAATAACAGCAACAGAAACAACGAAGACGGTGATAACAGCTATCTCGTTAACTGTGTTCCGTATAGCCGTTCATTGGTTTCTCGTTCCATGTCGTTTCATCGTCCGCTACCGTAGCTCCTGTATGCTGTTGTCTGCATTTAAATACATAGCGTGTGTTTGTTTGTAGATAGCTCGGTAAATACCGAGAGCTACAAGCCGTCCACGCAAGACCGCCAAGTATGTTTTTGTTACAGGTACCAGTAATGGACGAAATGTGTCCATTTTATCCGTTCTGTTTGCTTCCTACATTGCGCTTCTGTCAATGCTATCAGAGCCTTCATTGGTTGATGGTTAATCGTCGTTCATGTCATACGATATGAAATGATTACCACTCTTTTTCCCAACTTTGGCTTGCTGCTGTTCTTACTGTCTGCCATCATCATTACCCCCGTCGCATAACTGTTCACTCTCCTCCTGGGCATTGTCCACCATTGGCTCTATCTGCCGCTGCTGATGGGCATCCAGCCTGGCGGGTCAATTTCGTCGCCATGATGCTGACTTGCCACTGGCGCAAGTTCCGCTTGTTCTGCGCGGCCGTGCGCGATTGAGTTGCCGACGCCAAGCGATAGTTGTCATCGTTTGTGCCTAAGAAGTACTGCAGTAGCAGTAGGAAAGGCAACAGCGGCGACGGCCAAGACAACAACGCGGGGCAGGCAGCAACAATCACAGTCCATCCCTGCGCCTGCCAGGATGATTCAGCCGCAAAACATCGAGGACCAGCAGACTCTTTTGTCGCATTATAAAGTGGCTAGGCGCGGCGGCGCCTGCCGGTTCGTTGTAGTCGTTGATGAACAACCAGATTAGATATCGATCTCAGCGTACCGCTATCAGTGAGCTCGATTGGGCCAACGACATCGCCGGCCGATTAGAGCTGTTATCAAGCGTGTGCGCTAAAAAGTTCGTTGTCGTTGGCTACCGCCGACGCGTTATCAGCGAAATCATGTTGGTGCTGCTATTGATGCTGTTGTTAATGTTACCGATGTTAGGTGGCCACCATCGATATCATGACAACGATGGGCTACTGTTAGGGTCTAGACACCTCCTCCATTCCCTCGTGCTGATGTTGTTCTTTGTCCCACATATGAAGGACGTAGTCAGCCGGCCATGCAGTGTGCCTGAAGAAAATGGGCAACAAACGTGCGCACACACAGACAGAAACTTAGCTCAGGCGGGGTTCCTAAGGTATGTCGCACTCCGTTTTTGCGCTCCTTCTATGCTATTCGACTCCTCTAGCGCTGTTGCTAGCTCTGCTGCCATCAGCAGTAGCAGCAGGCGCTATGCAGCGACCGTTTGCCGGATTGCAACAATCTTATCTTGTAGCGAGATCTCGTCTTCATCGGCCATCTCGTGACGTCCTCTCGATAGAGAACAACAGGGAGGAGGACAACAGGGGCAGGAGCAGTAGCAACGGTATGTACATCGCTATACTCGCTAACGCCATGGTCACCAGCGACTGATACAGCGACAGGCGGACACAGGCTCAAGCAAGGCTTTTGTAGTCGAACCGACACATACAGGCGTCGGTGCTCGCGTCTCGTGGTTGCTAGCTTGCCTGACGGGTGGTTGGCTGCTCGAACGGTGCTTCTTGTGTGATTGTTAGCGTGACCGTCGGCGTAGCCGCTCGTGTTTTGTGATTCGTTGTGCAGTGCGCGAACAAGAGAGGCACACGGACTACCCGTTTAGCCACTCCTCCACCCATCGCAAATCTCTCTACTTGGTGGGGTTGTCGTTCATCCTTGAAGATCTAGATGCGTACCAAGAACACGCCTTTTACTAATAACTAGCCACGGTCCGATATTTACTTGCAGAATAATTGTTGAACCGAGAGAATTTCTTGCGTCTCAGAGTATCACGCGGCTACTTATTGAAGTTTGCCTTGTCGACGTCATCCAGCTGCGAGTGCAGAGTGAAGATAATTTGTCCGCTGTACGATTTCGACGTTGGACGTACTGTGAGGGGTGACTAACTCAGAAATCTGGCTTTTTATTATTTTATGCACTATCTACTAGGATCGATATCGTCAAAATAAAGAGAGGTAAGTTCACTGGAAAAGAAAGTTAGAAATTATACATTATTCAAATAGGACAACTTTCATGGGCAGTGTCGGCTTATGGAGCCGAGTTATCAGTAGAACTTCCGGAAGTTCTGATCGTTGAAGCTATCAGAAAGCTACTGTATTTTTTACATCTTGTAAATAACATGGCGAAGCAGAAATTAACTTCCCTAAATGTGCCGTACCGCTTCTACAGTTCGGCACAGATTTCCATTGGTTGCTGTTCATATTCTAAAAATAACTTTCAGAGGTAACGAACGTTTGCTATATACATATTTAATTCGTACAACTTCCACTTTTCTGTATACTATCATTTACTAGACTAACTACAAAGTTTGTTACTGTTTGTATTCTCTGCATGGACCAGAACTTGTGACAAAGATGACTTGCGACCCTTCAATTGAAACAATGCTGATGCGCGATTTTGAAGAGGATGACGAGCTACGTCATTACTGCGGTGTGTTTGCTGCCATTGGAAGTGGAGAATGGCCCTCACAGATCGACATTGCGCATTCGATTTGTCTCGGACTTGTGGCTCTACAACACCGGTAAGCGCACTGATTTCGACTAAAGTTTACGTAAAAACGATTTCCCTATCTAGATCCACCATGACATGGAACAACGGACATTTTCACTGAACTCTACCTTCAAGCGATAGCCTTGTGCATAATGATGAGATACGATCTTTTCTTGTCTAGAATGATCGTATAGCATATTTGCGCAAGCAATTTCTCATAGTGATAAAATATCTGCCACACAATACGACAATATAGCAAGTTTTAATCATGTCCGCTTGCCGGGTGATCAACCCTTGTAGAACAGGGCGAATACAATTTTTCACTGCGGTTCGATATGCCCTACAGTTGGCACGTGCTTAAAGGGCTCAAAGCGCCTGAAATTAAAAGACTACCATAAAAGCTTAGCCAGAATCGAATATGAAGGTCGCGAGCAAAAAAAAGAGCAATCAATTCAGGCTGGTATGGATGACGTTTTCAAGTCACGTAAGGTACCTTAGCAGCGCTGCGGCTAAGGTGGCACACTATCAGCACCATCACACAGTTGCCCCCGATATCTGGTCAACACGCACGTCGCACCGATAGCGTGCTACCACCACTAAAGCTTGCCGCAATAGCTCCCCTCTATCTGCTAGGTTGTCATAGATAGAGGGGAAAAAGTGTGGAGTGTTGGGAAGCTTCGTGTAGGCCGAGGAGGACAGAAAATAACTCAAAAGGGAGCAAAGCGGGCCCTCGTTTAAGAATATATACACATATGTCCATACCGTACGGCCATTGCGATTGTAACTATTATCGTGAGCTAATCCGTGCGAATAACGGTAGATCGACCACCGTTGACCTCCGCTTTTGTAGTGATTATTACCATGTAAGCAGGCTTTTACGATGACCCTATAAATTCAAACCTCAACACTGAATTATTCAACAGTATTTTATTTGTAGACGGACGCAGGAAATTGATATGCTCGTCGTTGTAGCAATCGCATACGACAGCCACTTACCTCGATACATTGAAACTTACTAGAAACTTATTTAACTAGCTTAATGGCTATGCCTATTCTCTAATGACTTCCTGTGCAACCTATCATCAAGCGAGGACGCCTGCCGTCCTAGAATACTATGTAGCCTTGACAGATATCAGAATGGGAATAATGAGGGTGCTCTGCCGAAAGGAACGTCGCTGGTTGTGCGGAACAGGGGACACTAGCACTGTCTCAATGCTAGATTACTCCGATTTCAGCCCTCTTCGAAATACGATCTCTTATTATCTTGTAGATTGTGTAGGCTTTACCAGGTTTAGTTTGACCTTGTTGTATTTGCCGCTGGAATCCATGTAGCCGTGATAGTGCTACAAGCTACGTTGTTGTCGCCTGCTAAACTTGGGGACCTGTGGTGATCTATGATCGAACTCTACAGACTTTATCTTGCCTTGGGAGCCAACGGTCCAAAGTGCCGGACGTAAAATACAATACGAAACTGTTATTGGAATAGCTCCTGTCTACATAAGCTCACGACGGTGGTTCCCGTATTCGCACGTGCGTATTCATTAGTTGTAACGATAAACATTCGATGCAGTACAGAGTAAGTCAGAGGAAATGATGGGTTACGACCGGTTTTTGCACTTCTGCCCATCTACTACTGATCAGGTTGCGAATCGCAAGGTTCTAACCCAGGAAAAGTTACGATGTACTCATACCTCGAGTACAATGAGGACAAGAGCAAAAGTAAATGTGGATCATGCGTTGTCTTTTAACGCTCGGATGAAGTAGACGATTGTTTTCCGTTTCACCGACTTAATCGAAAGACGAGGTAATAGCAACTTGTCGTTGTCGTCTCCAACAATAATTATCTCGTAAGCTATTGATGCAGTAACACCAGACAAAGTAGAAGGTGACCGGCGACGACGCGCAGACGTGAAAAACCGCCGGGAAAGCATGTGGCGTAAACTTAGGCCCATTATCAACAATCGAGAGTTGCTGACCTTTCGTCACGTTAGAACGCTTTTGTATAGGGGGTAGCGAGGCAGCAGAAAAAAATCATTAACCTAAATTGTCTAGATGGGCACAATTATTATTAGAGTTTTTACCATTCTACACTATTCGCTAAGAGTGCGCAAGCACCAGAATGACATCGTAATATATTGTTACAACTAATAAGTAACTTTAGGGAACTCAGCCTCTCATTCCAGTATCAGAAACGTAGGTTCGTTTTTAATCATATTTTATATTGACACAAGTATTTTTTCAATCGCATGATGAATACATGCTTTTCGTACACATGTTGTTTACGATATGAAGACCTCTTCACACATGAACGTAAACAAATGAAGTTACTGTCTAATAATTAAGGGCATTCCCGAGTATCGGTGGGGTATCCGTGGAATCACACACTCCGTCTCGATATTCTTTGAAATTTAATTGGTACTGCAACGAAGTCGGAAACAATCAACGTTTACCGTGTTGCCGGTGAGTGTCCCCATTACGGTGCAGTGATAACATGTTCGCCCATTAAAACTATGGACACTTCACATGGTCTACATTCCCATGGTAGGTTAGTTGGTAACGTATTTGCCTGCTAATCCTAGAGGCACGTTGTGCTCTAGGTTCGAAGCCGGGCATAGGCGGTTCTTCTGACAGCTGCCCAATGTAATACCTAACGACGATACTAGAAGCAGAGGTACAAAACCTGGAGTAATAACTGCTACTGTAATAGGTAGAGATAAGTGGTCTTATGTTAATTTGAACGCAGCTCGTAAATGGAAAGCCACTCATGGCCATGCTTCCTCGAAATATCGCAACATTTAGTCGTGCACACACACTTTTAGCCGAAACTTTTAACGAAATAGTTATGTAGGTTAATCTACGCAAAATGTCAGTTTGGACTATGCGAGATATTTGGCGGGTATATTCCTAACAAGTTCGGAAAACCACCTTTTGAACTGAATGAAAAAAGACAGCCTTCGGCTAGTATGTCCTTAACGAAAACTGGAGGAAACTCGTGACGTCAAAGAATAACAGTTGTTAAGGTCCGTAACACAGACATTAGCGTCAAGGACCAAGTGCCAGTCGACCTGAGTTAAATAAATTTATCTACTGTTTACGATGATAAAAATTTCCACGGTCTATACGTTTTCTCGGTCCAATTAAGTTGCTAGAATGTTTTTGTAGCTTGATAACAAATAGCCACCATATACTTACACAGTGTAATGTAATGTAATTTATGATTTATTGTTACCTGTATGTTTCAGGGGCCAAGAAAGCGCTGGCATTGTCACCAGTAAAGGAGGTAACGTGAAAACTTTCGCGGTGCATAGAGGCATGGGGCTAGTTAGTAATGTTTTCAATGAAGCCTCTATGCAAAAACTAAATGGAAATCTCGGAGTAGGACATACCAGGTGAGTCGAGTAAAATTATAGCGTGACAGAGTATGATGCGGTTGAATAGGTCCATCTTTGTATCGCAAACAAACTAATTCCGGTATTTGTTCGGCTCACCATTTTTAGGTACTCTACTGTTGGGGGTTCCGAGCACGAGAATGCACAGCCATTCGTCGTGCATACAAATCATGGACTTTTGGCAATTGCACATAATGGGGAACTTGTTAATGCTCTCAAACTTCGGAAAAGGGTAAAGTTAACATGTTGTGATTACATATACGATCTAATGGATGACCTGCTAGTGGTCTTCCTGCAAGTTTTTTCTTGCAGACCATTTCAATCGAAACACGTTATGAATGAATATGGGATGATATAAAAAAGCTGCATAGGTACGACGATAAATAATGATATTTAGTTACAGCTGTGAACGGCTACGCTAACTTTCGCTTATTTTAAAACAGTATCTAAATAAATAAGTACTCAATTTTATAACGCTAGCGAAACTTCACGTACGTATTTTAGTTTAAATTCCATGTCAACAGGTAAGTATTAAAAGCCCATTTGATCTGATGATATCAGCATCTCTAAAGATGATCAGGCGGGAGATCGTCCGGTATCTCAACGATGGTATGAGTCGTAGCCTACCTAATCTATGCTGAGTCTGCATGATGCACGATTAGTTCAAAGCTTGAAGAAAACGACAATCTACAGTCCGTTAACTGTCGCTCTTAGTCTGAAGATCGGATGCCGACAATAGGCCCGAACTTACAATAATCCGACCTATCGTCACGATGTTCTATCAGGTGTACACAGTATAAGAAGATAGTCATCGGATTACGCGTTTCTGTCGAACAAAACTGAGCATTTCATTCGTTTTTGCCATATGAATTGTTTTCGTATCGTTGCTGGCTTTATTCGTTATGTGTACGTTACTTCAGTAATTTGTCACCCTGTAGCCTTCACACATTGGTCACTATGGCTCAAAACAATCAATCTTAACGCTAAAGAAGAGACTGATACGATTGTATAGAAACAATTCCCGGACCAACGCCTCCCTTATTTGCTGGAATGAATCTGATTTTCCGCAGATGTTTATATGTTAGTTCACAGCAGGTGTCCACCTCTATTCTCCATTCAATTCGTTCGATGAGCAAAGTCCCGTTTTCGAACGCACTTTCCGCTTCTTTGACGTCCTCAAGCTCTCGCACCAAACGAATCCCCGGTCCGCCCCCGCCGTAAGCCGCTTTAAGCATAACGGGTAAACCATAGTTTTTACAAAATCCCTATGCTTCTTCAGCACTCAAAATATTGGCTTGTCTGGGATGCCACGTTGGATGGCGCACTATCGCGCTGCAATTTTGTCGCCCATTTCGACCATGGGTTCCGGCGAAGGCCCAATAAAGTGAATACCGGCCTTACTAACAGCTTCCGCAAAATCTGAACGCTCATGATAAGAAACCATAACCAGGACGAATAGCGTCTACATCATTCTCCTTAGAAATTCTGATATACTTGGCAATATTAAGACACGCTTGTATTGGCGCCAATCCTCGACCGATCAGATAGGACTCGTCAGCTTTATGACGGTGCATATGCATTTTATCCTGTTCCGGATAGACAGCAACGGACCGAATACCCAATTCCGTATTGACCGAATGGCAATTTCACCCCGATTGGCAGCAACAAGTTTCTTAATAGGTTGCCTTCCTGCCTTGCTCGAGCAGAAGCGTCTCTCAACGCGGGCACGATAAAGCTGCGCCGCACGGCAGCCTTTTGCTAACCACAGACTCATCGCACTCGGTACCCTTTGCTATAGCAACACGACTCATGACGTTTGTTGTTTCGATTCATTCGTTCACACATATACACAATGATTACTACGGCAGTGCTCGGCGAGAGCAGTACTCGAAATGGAAAGTATCCCCTAAATGCACGATGGCACATCGTCGTCCAGTACGAATCACTTCATCTCGAGTACAGCCGCACATCTGTTCAGTAGACCCAATTTGCGTGAGCCACAACTATCACAGTAATATAATGTTATATAACAATTATCTTTGGCAACCTCCCTGTAAATTAGGAACTAGATATTTGTGATTAGTTGGGTAAAAATTTAGCGTGTGGCGACTAATTATTATCATCATCGGTTAAATCTGTTACCCTCATGCAGCTAAACTTTTTGTTGCTCTCGTTGTTGTCACCTCTATTCCTCATTCAGCTCTCTCGTTAAATCACAGTCAATTTCGACCAATAAGTCGTCACCCTGCATCCGCATGTCCTTCACAGCTGTTACCAATTTCACTTCCCCTGCCACCGGGGCCTGGACGATCATCTCCATTTTCATCGCACTGAGTACAACAAGTGGGTCACCTTTCTTGACAATGTCGCCTACCTTAACCCTGACATCTATTATTGAACCTGGCATAGGCGCGCCAACACTGCCCGGATTTGCCTTATCTGCTTTTGGGTTCGATGCGATAACTTCCGAATGCGTTTTGTCTAGAACAAAAACAGACCTCAATTGACCGTTCAATTCAAAGAATACCTCCCGCTCGCCCTTCTCGGTAACGTTAGCAGATACCGCTAGCATCTTGATGTGAAGCGTTTTTCCACGTTGAATTGTAACTTCAAAGTTATCACCTACATCCGGTCCAACAAAGAAGATTCTCGTATCCAATTTGTCCACAGGTCCATATTGGTTTCGAAAATTAACGAAGTCCTCATAGACCTTGGGGTACATTGCATAGGACATGACGTCAGTGTCTCGAATATGAACCGTACGAAAATAGTCTTGCAGTTTCTCCTTTTGTGCTTCCAGGTCCAATGGAAGCAGATACTCGCCTGGTCGGCCTTCAATGCGATAGGTGTCCTTCAGGATTTGTGATCGAAGAGGCTCAGGGAAACCCTTATACGGTTGACCGATGTATCCCTGCATAAACTCTACCACTGATGTGGGGAAGCTCAGTTCTTGCGCCCTATTGATAATGTCTTGAGAGCTGAGTCCATTCTGTACCATGAACTGCGCAAGATCTCCGACGACCTTCGATGATGGCGTGACTTTGATAATATCTCCTAAGAGCTGGTTGGCTTCAGCATAGGCTTTCTTCACACTTTCAAAGTTTTCACCCAAGCCCAAGGCAAACGCCTGAAACTGGAGATTCGTGTACTGCCCACCAGGAATCTCATTCTCATACACGTCAGCATTACCCGATTTCATCGTTGTGGTACATTCAAAGGGAGCATACAACATGCGGGTTTGCTCCCAGTAGGCGGAATAGTCACTGACGTCTTTCAGATTGACCCTCGTATCGTACGGGGTGTGCTGTAAACAGGCTACCAGTCCACCCATTGTCGGCTGAGAAGTGATACCCGACATGGAGTCGACGGCTACATCAATAATGTCTGCCCCAGCGTGAGCACACGCTAACATCGAGGCAACCCCGACGCCAGCGGTGTCGTGGGTGTGAATATGAATAGGTACTGTGGGATGTCGCTCACGGAGAGCGCCGACTAACATTCGACATGCTTTGGGCTTGAGTAGGCCAGCCATATCCTTGATACAAATAACATGTGCGCCTGCCTTTATGAGTTCATCGGAAAGTTTAAGGTAATAGTCAAGGTTGTATTTCGTCTTGTAAGGATTCGCTACATCTCCGGTGTACGAGATCGCTGCCTCAACAACCCCGCCAGCCTTTCCGACCGCCTCAATACCAAGTTGGATATTGGGCAAGTAATTGAGCGAGTCAAAAATACGAAAGATATCCATACCGCATTGTTTGGCCAGCTCACAAAACTTGAAAACGACATTATCTGGATACGACGCATAGCCAACGGCATTAGCTCCTCGAAGCAGCATCTGGAACGGGATGTTAGGCACTTGTTTGCGCATCTCTTCTAGTCGCTCCCAGGGACACTCACGAAGAAAACGCATGGCTACGTCAAATGTAGCCCCGCCCCAGTTCTCAAGACTGTAGAAGTTGTGGAACTTACATGACACATAAGGTAAGACTTTTAGCATGTCAATGGTACGAACCCTCGTTGCTAGTAATGACTGATGAGCATCACGGAATGTGGTGTCCGTCAGTAGAAGTCCGTTGTGCCGCCGGACGGCTTTGGCGAAACCCTCAGGTCCTTCCGCGTCCAATATTTGTTTGAAACCTGAAACGGGTCTATTAGAAGTATCGAAGGATGGTTCAACAGGGGTAATTTTTGCAGGATTGAGACCCGTAGCTAATGGAGTCAACGGGCCATTGACAACAACGTCACTAAGGTAATAGAGCAATTTCTGAGCTCGGTTTCGAGCTGGTGTGAGCTTGAATAATTCCGGATGCTCATCTATAAAGTTCGTGTCAAAATTTCCGCTTAGAAACGTTGGATTCTGGATAACGTTAAGTAAAAAAGGAATGTTCGTTTTCACGCCTCGAATCCTAAACTCTCTTAGGGCTCGTCGCATTTTGTTAGCTGAAGCCTTCATATCCTTCCCGTGAGAGACTATCTTAACCAGTAGAGAATCATAATACGGTGAAATAATGGCCCCCGCAAAGGCCAGTGCACTGTCAAAACGGATGCCAAAACCTTCACCACTTCGGAACACCTCAATCCTGCCACAGTCTGGCTGAAATCCTTTTTCCGGATCCTCAGTAGTCACGCGGCATTGAATTGCACAGCCTGTAGTTTTGATGCTATTCTGGGTTAGCCCAAGCTCATTGAGCGTTTTGCCATTAGCAATCTCAATCTGCGACTGAACCAGATCCACTCCAGTGATTTCTTCAGTGATCGTATGCTCCACTTGTAGTCGAGCGTTTACCTCGATGAAGTAATAACTTCCGTCTTCATCCAGTAGAAATTCAACTGTGCCCGCATTTTGATAGCCAACATAGGAGCACAACTTGATGGCATCCGCGTGCATAGCGAGACGTACCTTTTCGGGCATACTTAGACCGGGAGCGATTTCAATAACTTTCTGGTGTCTCCTTTGCACAGAGCAGTCTCTCTCGTATAAATGGACCAAGTGACCTGTCTTATCGCCTAATACCTGGATTTCTATATGGCGAGGATGCTCAATGAAGCGTTCGATGAATAAAGCCCCGTTTCCGAACGCACTTTCCGCTTCGGATGCCGCTCGGCGAAAACTTTCTTTGACGTCCTCAAGCTCTCTCACTACACGAATTCCCCGTCCGCCCCCGCCGTAAGCCGCTTTAAGCATAACGGGTAGACCATAGTTTTTACAAAACCTGTATGCTTCATCAGCACTTACAATTGGCTTGTCTGTGCCAGGAATAACTGGGATGCCACACTGGATGGCGCACTTTCGCGCTGCAATTTTGTTGCCCATTTCGGCCATGACTTCCGGCGAAGGTCCAATAAAGTGAAGACCGGCCTTGATAACAGCTTCCGCAAAATCTGGACGCTCCGATAAGAAACCATAACCAGGATGAATAGCGTCTACATCATTCTCCTTAGCAATACTGATATACTCAGCAATATTAAGATACGCTTGTACTGGCGCCAATCCTCGACCTATCAGATAGGACTCGTCAGCTTTCTGACGGTGCATATGCATTTTGTCCTGTTCCGAATAGACGGCAACGGACCGAATGCCCAATTCCGAACACGCACGAAAAATTCGAATGGCAATTTCACCCCGATTAGCAGCAAGAAGCTTCTTAATCGGCTGCCTTCCTGCCTTGCTCGAGCAGAAGCGTCTCTCAGCGCGGGCACGATAAAGCTGCGCCGCACGGCAGCCTTTTGCTAACCACAGACTCATCGCACTCGGTACCCTTTGCTATAGCAACACGACTCACGACGTTTGTTGTTTCGATTCATTCGTTCACACATATACACAATGATTACTACGGCAGTGCTCGGCGAGAGCAGTACTCGAAATGGAAAATATCCCCTAAATGCACGATGGCACATCGTCGTCCAGTACGAATCACTTCATCTCGAGTACAGCCGCACATCTGTTCAGTAGACCCAATTTGCGTGAGCCACAGCTATCACAGTAATACAATGTTAGATAACGATTATCTTTGGCAGCCTCCCTGTAAATTAGGAACTAAATATTTGTGATTAGTCGGGTAAAAATTTAGCGTGTGGCGACTAATTATTATCACCATCGGTTAAATTCGTTACCCTCATGCAGCTAAACTTCTTGTTGCTGTCGTTGTTGTTGCAGTTTCCTGACCAAAAAGCCCCAGTTTTCTACCCCAAATGTGCGTCCAACGACCAGGCCACAAGGATATTTAGTGTTTCCTCGTTTTGCCCTTAGCCGAGCGAAAACCTTTGGCTTCTAAATATGTTTTATTTCGTCAAACTAATCTACATTAAACGACAGTGGCAGACGCGGTGTCGCTTAGGGTTCACAATTCTTAAACAATTCCTGGTGTTATTGGCAAAGGTATTGCATCTTGAGTTATACTTTTTACCTTAGCCATTCTGTTCCCCACCTGGCCTTCTAAATAGGGAGACCCATAGAATTCGGCTGCAGGAACACAAGCAGGGTTATCAATTACTGTAGATAAGGGATCAAATCTTCGAATGTGGGTGGCAGACACAAGTTCCACACAAATTGCAAAATAGGAATACGTCACGTCTACGCTTGTTGATGAAAAAGGTATGTAAGTGAATAGATTAATATTTGGCTGATTCATCAATATAATCGGGTGGTGCGGACAAGGGTCGTGGGGGTTCGCGAGATAATGCGATAATTGAATGATCTGTATCAAACACTCATGTCGTATTTCCTGTTCGATTCTGTAATGGCATCATCTCTGCGCAGCAGTATTACCCCTCAGCCATATTACCGAATTACTTCAGCGTTAGAGAACTTACATACGAGGATTTTATTAGTCTCTATTCTACATAATGGTCAATTATCGGTACATAATGAGATTCAATTTTGACAGGACAACAATGAGACACTCTCGTACTTGTAGAACATAGATTTCAGTTTTGAGCTTTTCATAATTTCTGCATAGAATATATATTGGCTCACATAATGCACGTTGGCGAAAATTCGGCGATCAGTAATGGTGGTATATTAGGGTGGTCTTATTATATGGGTCTCGACAACTAATGGAATTGCAGGGGTTTCACAGGAGGATACGTAAAGAAGTGCAATGAAAAATAATTCTAATAGCAATACTGGTCACATTAACAAGAAACACCGATAACGGGAAAGTAGAACGGATTCATTAAAACGAGGTGAGCTGATTAAGGTGCGGTAAGGGCAGTGATAATGAAAGGGCACAAATAGAAATATCATCTATAGGGCTCATGAAAACGATAGTTAATCACAAAGCTCTTAAATTACACTCAGCAGATTAATTGAAAGAGTTTCAGCAAATAAAAACTGCTGCCGCGAAAGATATACGAGGGTACACACCATAAACAACAAGTCTGCCTGGGAGGCAGGCACGTTGTTTGTGGGGTTGGGGGCATCGGGAGGAGTACGGGGTTGAACAATAAGAAGGTTTAAAAAGGGCACGGACATTTCCGGCTTGGAACTGCTTTGTTTCGCACTTACGGGCCGTTCGCCGTACGAAAGGGCAGCACCAAATTTGAGATTGTAAACTAAGGTTTGCATTCGCGGAGACGGAAATAACATGGACAGAAGACGATCAATATGAAATTGTCGAGTAAGAAGAGATTAAAGAAAGGAGCTATACCACTGCGCCGAGGTGAGTGGTTATCAACGGTCAAAGTACAACAAACAGGATGGGGAGAGCAAAACTACTTGAAAAAGCTGCCACTGTTTTTGAAAGTTTTAGAAAGCGGTACAGTGGAAAGGTAAGAGTTAGCCTGAGCTAGGCTTATCGGCGAGAAAGCGATTTTTAATTTCAATCAATATTCTGGTGTATATATCAATTAAGGCTCTGGTGGAGATGTAGGATTTTTGATTTCCTATAAGTTTCGGAGGGAACTCCCGAGATATTAACTTGGATGAATCTGGTAAGCGTACAACACGAGAACCGTGAAAAGGTATGATAAAAGAATTCTGGATGGGATAATAGTAGTATGAGCTACACGTTCGAAGGCCTTGGCAGCGCCGACAAATACTCCAACCGTCTCATTGCCATTGACGATAGTCCGACATGTTTCAGGGTTGCAAAGCGCTTTCGAAAGCCGAATTGATAAAAGGAGGAATTTAGATTTGAGACGGGATCGAGACTAAGCACATACAAAACAAAAAAGTCCTTTTCCAAGCAAAAAAGATGGTGGTTATGGCAGTAAAGGCGGTCGCGAATGAACAGGTAGCCAGGGAAGCGTCTGGGCATTGCCTCAAAGGATATGCTATGTGTGAAGACCTTAGGCGTCGATGGTGCTGCTATTTTATAATTGGCTCTAAAGCTACTGCGGACTTCTATGATAAGGACTGCATTTGAAACGCAAACGGTCGAGTAGTGGCTATCTATTTAGCAAACGAGGCGTGGTCGACATAGGTGCTAACGTGAAATCCGGTGGAAATACCTATCCAGTAAAAAAGCCCAGATTCGCAAAGCTAAATTTATTCACAGCTAGGATGCTGGGAACCTAATTGGTTGATATTGGTATATTTTAGGCGAAAAATATAGGAGGTTCAAAGCGATCGCGAGTTATCACGATGATCGAAATAACAAACACATAGAAAATTATAGACACAGATAAATATTATATATATTTACCTATTATATATATAGGTAAAAAAATCGTGTGAAGCAGACTCTAGTGCTTGCTCCAGTAGATGCTCATGGCAATAGTAACGCCCTTTAAGCTTAATTATACAAGAAGTATTCTGTATAATTTTTCCTTAGCCGAGAAACAGACTATTTGTCCCAATGTTTATTTAGAAAGTTTCAAAAATTAATATAACTTAATTTTTATCAGTTTCAGCTCCTTCAGTACATACATAGGGTGACCAGAATAACCATTCATCCGAATAGCCGCAATTCATAATTATGTTCCCTTTAATATTAGTATCGTCTTAGGCTAAATAGTGTTCCAATAGATTTCTCCTAATAGTGGTTCTCGAAATTTGCTCCTTGGATGTGGACAGTTCGCCGCTAAGGCAAATCTACTTTGTTTCCTTCTAGTGCATAAGAAAGGACCAGTGTATCTGATCCTTACTGAGAGGATGCCTTAACTTTTCATTGAGGCCTCAGGCTGTAGCTTATCGAACTTGCTATCAGTTCTGTTTACGCTTTCGCCCGGTTCAAGTACGGCCAGACACGGCACGCCTGCACTATTTCACATTGAAAAACGTTACTACAAAATCGTTCACGTTAAGTTAAACTTGTACGTTTAGTCTATCGACGCCAACAGCAAACTGGAATTATTAGTGTTATGATAGATGCCACGGAACTCGGGACTATTGAGATGGACTAATGCTTAAATAGTTAGCAACTTTTGAACGGAGCTGCCTCTACGAACCATTTCAACGTATTTATGTATACCATCTAGTCGTATTCCCTCTTAAGCGAGCCCTTCTTCCAAGCCTACAAGTACGCTTTTCCACTGCTGTTTGTGAGGCAGTGAGCATTAGGAGATCCTTGAGAATCCACTGATTCGGCGATTTAGCTAGAATAATAAACATTAGAGTAGACGCTGTACAAACGTACTTCATATTTTGCATAAGCTATGCCACTGTTCATTTGTCATAGATTTATCAACGTCTAAACTTCGGAAGCGAAACTACCGAGTCTCATGCTTTTTATCAGCACCGATCTCCGCTACACCTCAAAACAACTGATGCAATATTATCAATTTTTGCTGACTGGCGTTGATCTGATAATGCAGACTACGCTTATAATAGATAACATTTTCAGGCTAAAAATACGAGTAATCTCGCAGCTATTTATTGACGCCTAGTTAAAGATGCATTTACTACAAACAGAAAATAACTGCAAACTTATAGGCTAACCCTGAACAACTTAAATGCGAAAACTCTATAAGTAAGCTTTTATTGCAGATTTTAAATGCGGGTATCGGGTTAACAACTGGCTCAGACTCTGAGCTTATTATGCAGATCCTTTCCCAACCGCCGCCGGACACGTCGGAAAAAAATGGTGCAGATTGGCCAGCGCGTATTCGCAATCTTATGTCACTTACGCCGACAGCTTACTCTCTAGTTATGATGCATGATGATATGATTTACGCTGTGAGGGATCCGTTTGGCAATCGGCCATTGTCCATTGGAATGGTGTTACCCCCTGGAGGACCCAGAGGTATGTCAGTATCTGCCGATTATCATGTCATTTATTAAATTTGTCATGTGAACAGATGGAAGGAGGCCAATAACTTTTGGGGTTGACTGGGAATTGACAAAGTGCTTGATAGTTAAAGTTACTTAGTTTTCTTTCGGCTTTGTACAACAGACACAAACTTGCATTTTTAAGAAAGATATTTATGTTCACGGTGTTCCTGAATATGATATTAACTTCAATGACTATCTCGTTGCCCATTTCTGTCTTCATATTGCTTTTTTTTTGGTTTCTAGAGCGATCTAACGTTTACATGAACTTTTAAAAATTTAGAGTAGCTTTATCTTGACGGAGCGACGTAATTTCAAAGAGGTAACGAAGCATTGTTAGTACTTTGACAGTCTGATTAAAATAAGAGTACAGATAATTGACCCAAGATCGCGGGACGTCTGTTTCAAAGTCACAGGACGATTAGACCTATTATCATGAATTAGGGCAATTAAACAAATTTGTGAATTTAAACGAGGAATACTCGCGGATTCAAATTATGACGAATTTACACTGAACAGGTATAACTAACTTAATAAGTTAGAGTGAGGAAAATGACAGTTTCGTATTGGATGAGTGTGTATTTATAGTACGAATCATGGATAAACGCATCAGCCATACTTGGGTGTTCCACTGTGAGGTCAAAAGTATCGACAAAACGCCTTGTGTTGATCGGCTAATAGTCAACCCGTAACCAAGCATATGACCCCACACTGGCCTGCATTTGCTCTCATATCCAATTTGAGACCGTTGGGTTTTGCAGGCTGTTCTTCTCCATTATTGGTCCTTTTTTCTTTTTTGGAAAATTAAAGTAGGACAAGAAACGCCCGTTTTTTTGTTCCGCGGCGTTACAAAACAACAAGGCGCTGAAAAATAGTGTTAATGTCATATTATATAAAATTTTTGGAAATCAAGCTACGGGTTGAATTGAACTGTCCGAGTGCTACCAGACGTGGAAGATGGCCGTCAGAGGACTCGCAGAATAGACATCTCATACTCGTTATGTTGGACTATACTTTTGCTCTTGCTTAGTGAAGGTTTATAGCAACAATCGTGCCGGAACCTATGAACGAAAAAACTATCTCATCCCGAGAATCTCAATGCACTCGATCGAGATTTGCCCCTACGCGTCATTACGTGCGAAGAAACGTAGCTGTACGGATGGGATATAACGTACTAGCACAAACGGCTAGATATCGCTCTTATATCGAGCCCAGAGAGCAAAGAACTGTAAAACCTTAGGTCAGAAACCAAGCGTCCTCTTATCGTGTTTCTCAATTACCCGGGAGACGTTCGCGGTAGATCTGTAGAGACGTATGTTGAAGGGTAGTAAAAAAAAAAAAAAGGGTAGTACAATCTTGATTATCAACTAGAAAATAGTCAACCGTATACATATAATTCGAGGAGGAATGGTAGCAATTTAACGATCAGGCTAAATCTGCTGTATGATTACGATAGCTGAATTCTATTTGATGACAGTTGAACATCGATTGTCTTATCTTCTACCTAGCTCATCTTATCATGAGCCTCGCTTAGCGAATCTCGAAACTTGCTTTCGCCATATTATAGGGTAACAATGTCCAGGTGGTCTGGCAGTTGCTGCTGCTGCCGCCACTATCATCGTCGTTGCTTCTGCCGGACACCTGCCGGACACGTTCTGGCGTTCTTCTCAGACGATTTTAGACAACGACAGTGGCAAACCAATACCCGGACGCTCGGCGTGCCGATCGTGCACCATTGTCTCTCGCTAGCGACTTTTTTTTTTTATTTTCTAGCTGTGATCGCAATACGATATGAAAAAATGACCGCGTACAGTTTGTAATGACAAACTCCCCGGGGCACTATCAGGGTCAGCTTCCACCTGACTCTCTGGGTGAGTGGCAAACATACGATGACAAAAACAGAGCGCCGTGTACAGCTTCAGCTCTGCAGTGAACCCATATATGCCTCCCTTAGCCTAGACAGCAGCCGTGTGGATGCGGGTGTCGCCTTTAAGACGGATGGATCCCTGGTAAAATAGAGGATGCAGGATATGCAATAAAAACTATGAAATATATAATGATGGAGTGTTCCGTACGCCGTAGATGCAAGCGTGTGATTTGCAAATGAACTATATTAGCGGACCGCAACGCGGTCGATTGTGTACACGGACAATGCGAGCAGGGTAACTAAACACACTGCCTGTTGGTTCGATCTCTGGAATAGAAAAAAACAAAATGGAGGCGAAGCAGACCGGTATTCGCGCATAGGAGCGATGTTATCTTTGTAATGAAAATGAATGTAATGTAATAAAAAATTTCGATGTACATCAACTCAAGAAACAGATGTAAGAAAAGTGAATAGGTACTATGATACAAAAACCATTTTTTGGAAAACGGTTCGCTTTCAAATGTTGATGATAAAAAGGTAATGAACTGGTGAAATATACACATCGTATAGAAGACTGATACGCAAGTTCGATATCATCGAAAACAAGATTTTCTCAGTGTATCCTGCTTATCGATAAGTCTGTGTTTAGTATGAAATCTCTTTCGGACGCTCATTTTCTATCAATTCAAATAGGATTACTCCATTATGTATGTTTCATAATGGAGGCATATTGCGACCAAGATATTTCTTCCGATTTTGTTGAAAGAACACCAAATAATATTTTAGGCATCAACACAGATCTATTATACGAGCAGTATAATTGGTTCACCGTAAGAAGTTCGGTTCGTATGCTATTCAAGGCCTATAGTTTTTATCTTGTTCACACAATGAGTCTGGTTACAAGTGTTTCATTTTTAACCCAGATGTTTATATAAGCCGTGCCATTTGTTGGGTCTACTAGCTTGACCGGTGTACAACGGCCGTTCACAAAGGTTACTTGATGCAGCAATTGAATGGAAATATTTTTCGAGACTACGTCACCAATGAACAGGCCAAGCAATAAAGCTGCTTTACCACAAGGATGCAAGTTCGCGACTTGGTAGACATTAACGGTTCGAACATTATTAGTATATATATATATATATGTATATGTATATATAATTAAGTGCTTTTAACACACATATGTGTCGGAGTGTATTAATGTGTGAAACAACTGTCACTCTGATAACGATCAATAGGTCTTACAAAATGTAAATACTAAATAGATCGCTCTATTCGATGAACTCATTCTTACGTTAGTATACCTGCGAATTTTGCGTTCCCAGATCCCGAGCATCCTGAAGAGTCTGCCGAAGGTTGGCTGGTATCATCAGAATCCTGCGCATTCAAATCAGTCGGCGCTACCCTCTATCGAGAGGTGCTTCCCGGCGAAATTGTTGCCCTGACCCGAGGAGGTCCTGTCAGCTGCTGCATCGTACCACGGCCATTCCCGGTTGATCCGGCATTCTGCATATTTGAGTACGTGTACTTTGCAAGGCCCGACTCCATTTTTGAAGGCCAGATGGTCTATGATGTTCGCATGGAGTGTGGTCGTCAGCTGGCACAAGAAGCATTTGTCGATGCTGACATCGTATCAACTGTGCCTGAATCCGCCACGCCATCCGCCCTCGGTATGTAAATAGCAGCGTATTTCATTCGAACTCGTTTCGTCACCCTTACTATTGGATTCTGACCGCTTCCGTTCTCCGACTGAGCAGACCTAATTAACAGATAATGAGCCATCCGGAATTGCTTGCGTTTATTTCATGCACAAATACTGCACGAATAATGAAACAAATTTGTGGGACCTTATTAAATCGATGAAAAAAAACGGCTTTAGCAATATCTTACTAGCTAAAAGTTATAGTTCTTGTCTGGGCTATTATTTCTACTAGGAACGAAGTATTCCCCGACCACTTACCGAAATCATTGGACAGCGTCGAATGGTACTGCTTTCTGTATAGTAGGCTGGGTAAATATGCAGTAAGGATTGAATATCTATTGACCTCTAAAACAATAAGTACCGCGATGAAATCTGCTGAGGATTTCATAACCCAAATTGCTATATGGCTTGGTTTTGACAACTCGGGCGACATATTCAAAGCGCGCTGTCTACTGATGACAAGACATCACCGTAGTAAGACTCTCCGTAAAGATTTGGTAAGGTCCTGTCATGAAAATTTTGAAGCTGAAACGGCTAGTTAACTTAAAACCCCAATTTGCTTGTAAAGCAATTTTCACTATAGTTAGATAGACTGATTTAATGATCAATAGCGAACATTACCGGGCCTCAGTAATGTGCATTCTTTTCTGGCATTATTGCTTTCCTTAAGTAAGCTACTTACCCTGGGTAAAATGTATTCTGGCAGAAGTCGCTGGAAGCTGTAGGACCCACTTTCTATCGTCACGGGCATTCAAAGCGTTGGAAAATGTCACAATGTACATTCGTTTTATAAAATAGCTGGTATGATTTACTGCCAGCACGAGACGCCTATACTTGCATAAGTTAATTAGGTCGTACTCCCCTGGTTATGATACTATCCAGAAGACTGGATAATTCTTTAGCAATTAGGAGAACATGATTCTCCACTATTCTAATTAGTACAAACTAGTATTAGAAATTATCTGTTTTGTATCAGTTCAACGCGGCACCAGTCGAACTGCGAACAAAGTTCATTATCGAGAACTGGAAGGTTTATAATAGACTTGATAGAAAATGATAGCGCAATATGTGGGACTTATGTGTGGACGGCCCGAATATCAACGACCAGCAGCAATCGTGCACGGGCTAGAATTGGTACGCATATGCAATGGAAGACGCAGCACTATCTTTTAACTAATTCCAACTTAACCTAAGTCTAACATATATTTTTCCCGCCTACAGACGAGCTCGTCGCCGTCATTCGCATTATCACTGTGTTCCACGATCGCCGCAATCCCCGTTGGAGTTTTTGATTCTAGCTCTCCCGGTCGTGTTGTTATCTTGCAACACTTATACTTTTATACCTTGTTTTGACAATTCGATCAGAGTGTTTTATAGTAATGTCGATAGCTTCATGCTACTGCTGACAATGTACCCTGATTTAGATACTCTTCAATCATATTTTAGTCGACTATGTCTGGTTCTGTAACGAAGGCGTCATACATATTCCGTACGTGTGCTTTAGTCTACATTTCAGTACATTTAAGTAGCGTAACATAAAAAAGCACAGTATTTTCTTGAAAAACCAGGTCTTCATGCGAAAGGTTTTTCTAAAAAAAGCCGTTTTCGGAGTGATCGATTGCGAAACAGGGACCCTTCTTACACATTTTAAAACAATTCATATATATATATATAAATGATTGATAATGTATGAATCTGTATGTGCTAACCGTTTTGAAAACTACTTGTTTTGCATCTGTAGAACGGGCTAACAGTTAATAATATCATTATAATAGTTGTTATTATAACCAGGTTTGTGTTATATTAATGTTCTTCTTTTGCCTATCGCCCATCCCCCCCCCACCTGATTCTATGCGCATCGTTATGTCTTCATTAAACCTTTCGCTTGAGTTCCTCCTGTTTAGCATTTTACTGTTACGTTGCTTAGTCTCTGCTGAAAAGACTGCTTATTTCTATAATTACTTCTGATCTACGTCTGATGCACACATCAATCTTCAGTACTTCCGATCTGCAATCTCAAACAATTCTAATGTCTCACAATTGAACTTTAGTAAACTACTGCAATCTTTCGAAAAGAAAAAATAGAAGATTTCCTTTTTTGCTTCACTTTTTTGATAAAATTAATTATAAATAACTGTCACGGCGTTCTTTTTCTGTATTATGTTAAGCTTTTAGCCTGACCCACTTCTTATTCGTTTGAGCATTCAGCCCAACATTCTGGCCAGTTAGTACTACCGAATACATCATATATAGCGGCGTCGTATGCAAGTTCGAAGAAAGTTTGCCATAACAGACATCCGCCTATCCGTGACTATTGACAAGAAAGCTAGTTATTTTTAGAACAAACCACAAGCTCATCATGGTTGAAAAAAATGTATCGTTCTAACAGTTGGAACGAAGACCAGTAATTATTCCCTCTCTTCATGCGGAACGGACTCCATTGCAATTATCGGCCTTTCGTTTAAGCTTGCAATCCACAATTATTGTGATTTACTTTTACTACCACAAGTTATTGTCAGTGTATATAGAATTTGGTGAAAGTGCGACGAAGACTTCGATGAGGCGGGGCTCAAAGATCCTCAATAGCGCTTCTATTTAAACGGCTCGAGATTGCTTAAAAGTGGTGTAAAAAAGGGCTATTTCTAATAATTCCAGATGCAGAGGCTAGCGGCCGTCGCCGAGCAATTGCTGCTAACTGGATCGTCTTTTTGACTTGCCATCAGCCCGAAATTTAATCGTACCTTTTTTATATGAATAATATCTTAAATGGGCCCAAATCTATAACTACTGCCATTGATATAAGCGCTGCCATTGAGAGGTAGGAATATTTCGAAGACTACGTGCTTGTTTGAATCGCAAACGGAAACAGTGATTGAGGTTTTATTCAGTGAGCGTTACACCTTTAGAGCATAGACAAAAAAATTTCGCCACATATAAATATATATACACATCGCGTATATATACACATATATGGTACCTCAAATGGCTGTACTAGCGACGTAGCTGTCGCCTAACCACTCGCTTTTACAAATTTACACATTTGTTTGTTATCACTGAAGTAGGTACGTTATTACGGGCACGAAGCACAATAAAAGCTTGCTAAAGTTCATCCATTTCCACTTGTTTGTTCTTCCTTTATTCTTTCCCTTCAAAGCGAACTGCCTTTTTTGAAGATGTCTTCACTATTTGCAACCATGACAGCTAAATACCTTCATTCTCTATTATTTTCTTCTCTACCAATATGCTACGTGCAAACACGCCAGAAACTTTTTTTTGACAAGGGATGTTCTGAACGTACGCGTAAATACATGTAAATTATATGAAGGCCTAGGTTCGCCATAGACAATGTGATATATACGATTGTTCTTGTGTGCTATTTCAGCAACAAGGACTAAGGTAGCCGATTATGGTACAATGAAAAAAAAAATCTAATAACAAGGAAGCACTTCTCTCTCTGTTCAACTTCTATACGATCAGGAACGAACTACACAGAGCGCGAAATGGAAATAGCTACCCATAATTTAGCAAATTACATTTGGGCATTTTGGCTATTGAATGTCGTTTGTGTCGTGAAATGAGCGGCAGTCGGTAGCCGGTTGGCCTTGCAAGCCTAATGTGTTCAAGGCGTACAAGCATCGTCTAGAAATGAGTCTTTCTTTTCAGATACAAACTAATTGTACGAGATTATTATAGGATGATTCGAGTGGCAGTGGCGCTAGAGTCCCACTTAGCCAACGGTCGATATACGTACAGTTGCTAGCAGCGCCAGCGCTACTAGAAGTCACATTGAATTTTACTAGTTGCGACAGTATACGTCAACGTAAGCGGGACGGGTTGAAGTTTCCTTGCAGCTTTGCCTTCTGAACGTGCTGAATAATAATAATAATAACAGTAATATTAATATTGCATGATTCCAGTAGACTGAAAACAACGCAGGGCAACCTCATCAAGGTAATTTTTCTCGAAGATAATTGAGCGCCGCCCCCTGAAGCTCTGCAATAGGGTGAAAGGAATTTGATAAGGGCAGGAAGTGCCAGTCGGGTGTCCTTCGAGATATTTTCGAATATCAGAATACACAACTTAAGGATATTTTTTTTTTTTATGTATGTGCGGGTAATGTCTTAGTGTCGTATCATCGTAAAGCCCTGTTTTAAGACAAACTGTTTTACAGGCTATTGTGAGTTGTAATATACAAAAAGAGCTAGTAACGAATAGAGGATATGAAATAACCTCATTAGTATTTTCGGTCATTGAAGAGGAACTAACTGAATTTGACAGAATATCGAGGCGTTATTGAATATTCTGCATCTCCTGGTGGATCATGTCAGACTCGTGGTTCCGAAAAGGTATATTCGATGGCGCGCCATGTCTACTGGTTGTATTTGGATTTGATTGTTCACCACTTTCCTCGTAGCGCCAAACATGTAGAAAGCAAGAAAGTAGGAAAATTTCCTCCGTGGTCCACGTCCTAGTAAGATATTTCAAGACAGCAGCTCTTAATATCGTGATTCAGCATTAAACTATGCACACTATAAATATAGCATGTACTATATACATATAGTTCAGGGAAGCTGCCGTCCCAATAATACAGGCTGCGTGGAATTTTCGAGTAGAACTTGATCTGGACTTTTATAGGGAACGGAAGTCAGCCCTTATTAATAACCAGTTTCACTGACAGGATTTCAATACTGGTTGCCTTTGGAGCATTGAAACTTGCTCTATTGATGCGCGTATTGAAGAACTCCTATATTGAAGAAGCTATTTGTATCCTGGTTTATAATCACTGCCCATAATAATCGTTATCCGTATCTTACGTTTAGTAATTACGTCGTTAGGGATTACTTCAGACGACTGGTACCGAAACAAAGCATATCTACTCGCATACCTCCATTTAGATCACCATGTGTACCGAGATGTAGCAGGCAAACGTATTTAATAATCTCACTGTCGTAAGTCCAGTATTTCCAAGTTGAAGACTGACATACTGTGAGCATGGAGATAATCATTTCGCATGAGTATTGAGTGGGACTGCATGGACCTAGAACAAACAGTTCATATAGGGATGTCAATGAAAGATGCAAGAAAGCAGTACTGGCTTAAGCTATGTCTTCGTAGATCTTCTACCAGTTACTTACCGTTGCTGTTATATGCTCGTCGCGTTCTATTGTTGCAGGTTTCTCACAGAGTACAGGCATCCCGTACGCAGAAGTACTCTGCAAAAATCGTTACGTAGGACGTACGTTCATCCAGCCATCAACAAGGCTTCGAAAACTCGGTGTCGCAAAAAAGTTCGGTCCCCTCTCAACTAACTTCGTTGGTAAACGCATCATTCTCATTGATGACTCGATCGTACGGGGTACCACTATCGGCCAGATCGTCAAATTGCTCAAGGAGGCCGGAGCTCAAGAGGTAATATAAAAAAAAAAGGCATAGTCAGCATTGTTAATGAACCTGCTTCTTAAAAAAAACAACGGTTCTGTTAATAGTTTCGTGCAATACATATACGAGCACAATCTCGAACATTCAACACGAACACGCAACGGTGGCGGAAAGCAAAAGAGTATGTCTTCAGAGGACTATTGAATCCCGCAGACATTTGTTACCTCATAGAAGGTTATAATGTGGCGTTTTTTTAAAAAAAAAAAAAAATCATTGAGTAGTAATTATCGTGACTTCTTCAGCGGTCGTATTTCTATCTGTTCCAGTAAGTCTTAGTTTTGCATAAGAACTCATTATGCTTAAAATAACATACTCCCAACTTTATAGCGAACAATGCATCTTGTTAAGCTATATCGGGAATAGCTATTGAGTATAGTATACTACATGCCTGTTCGAAACTGAGTGCGCATGCATTGTAGAAATACAATGTTCTATACAAAGCACTCAAGTCTTTTATGGGCGAATTCTTAATATATCTGCTATGAAATTTGCTATTTACTTATTACTTGGATGAATTGGTTGGAGTTAAGAAACACAGTCCATATCCATATTTACTCTATCCAACCTGTTTACCATTGTACTTTCTTAATGTGCTTCAATGCAGGTTCACATCCGAATTGCGTCCCCACCTCTACACTACCCGTGCTATATGGGCATTAATATCCCGACATCTGACGAGCTCATTGCTAACAAGTTGAATCCATCACAGCTAGCAGAGGGACTGGGTGCCGAGAGCCTTATCCATTTGTCGGTCGAAGGACTTGAGACAGCCGTGCGAAAAAGCATTGACCGTACTAAAGTCAAGGACGTTGGCCACTGCACAGCCTGTCTGACGGGAAAATACCCTGTCAGCATTGATTTCTAGGAATTTTTTCAACAAAAGTCTTTTTTCTATTGTCTTTCTACATAGAACTAAAATATGGCGAATTGCGCATCACCTAAGCAACTAATATAAAGCGACCTCGCTAACATTTGCCACTCAAACGTCGCGCGCAAGCTGGTACCGTCGCTCTATCACACACAATATCAATGCGGCACATCACACATATATACATGTAGATAAAAGATGGATAAACGTGTGCATGACGGACAAACGTACCGAAACATACGCTTGGGAGCGTGCATGCACACACACACACGCACACAGTCACGAATAAACAGTTACACATTGTTCTTAACGCTTAGTGAATCGAATAAAACAACGGCAGTACCTAAATTCCCACCAGCGTCAACAAATCGTTCGTGACCATTTTGATGCCAACCGAAGTGATCGATCGCAGCAACAGGCAGCCGAGGACATTGTTCCGTTCAGCTACGTACACGTACCGTAGAGACGGCCATATGCACGAATGACTATATCGCAATAGACAAAATAACTATCTCATTTTAGTTACAATCGTATTAATATCAACAAATAGAAGATATTGATATGAATAATAATTATTATAATTAAGAGATAGTATAATAGGCGACACCTTCTGAGTGGAATAGGCGTTGTATATGGGAAATTCTTTAAGCTGATATGATACTTGGTCCGAGGGGCTCTATTAGATATATTTAACGACTCGGCCATAATATGTTATACAATATACATCTATAAATACAATAGTATCACTATTTAGCAAGTGAATCCAAATGTTAGTTTCTTATAATAGAGAACTTGCTAAGTCTCCAGACAAAAACAAATCGGAACCTAAGAATGAAAGGGTTGACCCAATGCACGCGACTGGTTTAACAGTTAGAAAAAAAATAGGGGGGATATTTTTTTCACAAACCTCTCTTTCTGTTCTTCTGTCCCATAGAAGCGAGGTCGTTTCGCTGCTATTACTATTATATTATTGAATAAGATATGTTCCCAAGTATTAATGGATACATTTACGAGAGAATATAGGCTTGTTCATTTTTACTACGATTGATACGTCTGAAAGATATTGCAAAGATAAGCATGCGTCTATGGTGAAAAAAGCAAGCTGACCATACAATCATACATTGTTGACGGGCTATCGCTGGCGCGGCAGTGAATTTTGCCGTGGCTTTTTCTAGCGTTTGTTGATATGCATGGATCACGCAATGCACGAGCAGAGCATGCGCGTTCTTCTCTTGCGTGTACACAGATATTCAACGACAACAACAACAGCACAAGCACGTATCTGATGAAAGCGCACTTGTTTGTTCGGATAGGACTACCTCCCCTGATTCAGCCACAACCGCGTACGAATCATTATTGGCGTATAATTCTTATTACAGAAACTGTGTGTCAGGCGGGCTTCACAAAAGCCGAATGCGGAAAAAATCATTTCTCTCATAGAAAAAGTAACTTGCATTTAAGATTAAGCAAACGGAACGAAACGTCGCGGCGAAACGTCGATTGGGTTTCTGGCAACGAGTTAATGTGATCGATCCAAATGAAAGCACATATTAGGTCCACGGACCTGCCAGTTGCAGGACGATTTGCCATACATTTTGCCTTCATTGCGAGACACATGATCGTTTGAAATTAATCCAGTACGTTTTTTTCCCAACGTCCTCTTGCTTGCTGCCGCACAGTATGTACATAATTATCATATTTAGACACGTTTACACATGTTGTGATTGCAGTGCCTTCACTGTAAAATCGCGATTGAAAACGCGAACGGGTTTCTTGGCATACTGAGAAAGTTGAAATCAATTTTATATATAGCCCACACTAAGTAGCATCGAAGTCTAGGGTTTTGCGTTTTTCTCATGCAAAGTTAGCCTGGGTTCAATTCAACGCGTTACTTTCTGTAACAGTACTCTGTTCTCATTTAAGGTCTTTTGCCACCCGTCCCCCTTTTGCCCTCTATGACAGTTACGATGTCATCGTCAAAGTTTGCAGGGCTATTCTCTTCATAGGAGATATCGAAGCTTTTCACACAACTCGAGTTAATTCCAAGCAATTCCTTCACTAGCGGACGGATTATCTGTGGCAGGATACATCGAATTGGGAGGGTAACATTCTCCGTCAGTTTATCGTTGTTATATGACGACGCGCGATAGCCATTCGAGAAGAATGTTGTTGTTGTCATAGTCGGCGTCTGAATCGCTACTATGCGTCTAGCAGACATTGCGCAAATTCAACGGGATAGGTTTATGAGAGACTAGGTTTAGTCTTTCCTTAGGCTGTTAACGTGTGTTCTTCCTATCGTTTTACGTTGATCCGACGACTCCGCCAAGCGCAACTTGTAATCGTAGTAGAATTGTTGGATAGAACTCCAATTGGGCGATGGTAGTGCGTAGCCGTTATGGACACATTAGTGGTGGTAAAAACAATCGTTATATTTTTCCAAGTTGTCACACGCGCCTGCTTTCCTACTCCCAAAAGGCATGGTGCCTATCGGCTGCTATGATATGGACTCCGTTTTACAATAGAAAGTTAGGACAAAATGATTTAGGTCTTCGTCGAATCTCTGATTCGTCGAGCAGACGAAAATTTCTGATAGTGGTGTCTTTTCCTGCCTTTCTACACACCGCGTAAAACGGGTCGAAGTAAGCGGCATATGCGTACAGCTGTTGTTGATCGTGCCTGCGCGCACGATTATGCTAGGTGTGCTAAGTTTGAACGTCGGAAATTTTTTGCTCATATAGCCCGCTTGCATTTAGCATACGGTTTCCATGACTCTTATGTTTTGTGCTTAAATCGTATCGTGGCAATTCTGTGTACATTGTTTTCCCGCTACGTACAGAGATGTTCTCATGATAATTAGTACTATTGTAGTCCGTAGCATCTTTTGTAGAAAAATGATGAATCGATGACCCAAAGAGGAAGATTTACTAGAGTATTTTCAAAGATGATATCGCCGCCTTTAGCAAATGCACGAAGATATGTAGAGAATCAATTCGAATTTATGTACCGAAATGATAGAGCATATGCTGAATTGTGTACAACCAATGAGCTCCTCTTCAAAGCGGATCTGCAACGTGCAAAAGGAGCGGTGTTATTTTGGAACGATTTTTCCTTGTGGGCTTTACGTCCCTACTCGCTCCCTTTAATTCCGAAAAAGTAGGGCGTGCTGTGTCCTGTGTTGTTGTTGTTGTTGTTGTTGCTTGCGTCGCTCGTGGCTTACTAGGCCAGAGTCGGACCACGCATGGCAATGCAGAGCTTCTCTCAAGAAATAAGCAGTTGTGGAGTAGCTCGCTTAACCGAGTGGTAGCATATATGATAGCAGATACTCCTTCGGATTAGATAAGTTATTCGCAGGGCGCTTGTCAGACCGATAAAACTACTTGGTGATTGATCTACGATTACTACGTAACTAAGTAAAAGCTTAGCTAAATAAAAGTACTTAATTACACGAGTCGAGTAAAACAAATAAATGTAGGTACGCACTGATAAGAGCAGCTGTTAAAAAGCTTGAGTAAAAAGCGTACTTCATTTGACTTGGACCTGTTATTCTATGAGCCACACGTAGCAAGGCTAATTTCGTTACCTGAACAGAGGTTGGCCTTTTTGATTCATTACACTTGTAGTTCAACAGGGCAAAGGCGGTTCCTCTTGCAACTATAATATAATATGTAACCTTAGAAAAATGTAAAAAAAGCTGCATACAGCACGACACTATGGGCAGTGATATAAATGGTCTGTTTATCTATCTACAGTTTCTTTGTTGTAAAAAAAAGTCGATTAGTCCAGTTCTACATCAACTAGTATTTGGTCATCGGTTTCTCAGCATCGAGAGCACGAACCTTGAATGCATAGCGGTCCTTTATGCTGAAACGAATTTATTGCAGTGTCTATTTTTACTGGTATTTAATGGTAACATTGCTAGTTGAAGATACTAATATTCGTCCTTTGAACCATTGTTTAGCCACCATTTGTTTTGGTCCTGCTCCTTAGCTTTTACCTTCGATAGCTTTCGGCGTGTTGGGGGCGAACAGAGGCAACAAACACAATAATCGTAACGCGAATCGAATTCAACAAACATTTTGCCCCCGCTGTTCAAGATCGCATCGTAAATATATATGAACAAACATTGCGCGAGATCACTGTGTCTATTTACAACCACTAAACGTAGTGTGTTTAAGTCGTTATCCCAACTATCGATCGATTTGTTTGTTCGCCGTTAGAGCTGGCTAAAAAACTGATTACGACAGTATACATACACGTGCAAGATAGATATTTATCTTCAAACAAGGGTTTTTATAAATGCTTAATGCCTCTTTGGGACCAGCAGGCCAAGTAGAAAATCGAGCGGTACCTCGGTGAAAAGTACGACCCCGCTACAGCTATGAGCATATCGGTAGAGTCGGCCAGCGTTTGCGATAGGTTAAGACTACCTAATTTGCGAAGTCGTTTCTAAAACAAGCATCCCAAACGCTAACAGTGGTCAGGTTTGATAAATTAGAATGGTGTTAAACGAACGACTCATTTCGACTCGGAGTTTCTGGCATGAAGTGAAGATGGCTCAAGGTGATCGATGTCAGGAGACTTCATCAGGCGGGGCTCAGTCTGAAGGAGGTCGTCGTTAGTCTTACCGTACGAACAAATGTTCCTGGCACATGAAAAACTGTGCAGCTAATATTGAAATGTTTCCACATCGCCCTTCACAAATATCCATCGTAACATCTACAACTCAGAAGGATACTAGTCTCGAGCACAGGATGCTAACTCGCTTATTCCGGCGGCCACTCTTATTCGCTGGGATCTGTAATAGGGAAGACAGGAAAAATCAAGATACATACGTGCGGTCAAACAGGGTAGGCGGTACAGTATTTTAGCAAAGATATTGAAAATAGCTAAACTACCTTAGTTACTGTTAAACGGCTATGCTGACATATCTAGAAAATCGATGCCTTTGACGGTTTTAAATCGCATAGCGCGTTTCAGCGAGGCGGTAATATATGACGTTATAGGTATTTTCGTATTAGGAACATCTGGGGTTGGTCGTCGTTCGTTCCTGGTGATCATCTGAAGCGTGATTTGCTATCCAAGTTGAAATCTCCGGTTCTAGACAAGTACGGTTAAAAAAACTGACCAGTGACAACGCTTACTGTACATTCAACCTAGTTTTATATAGGTACCGGTAGGCAACTTGTCGAACAACAGATTTCTGACAATACGAAACAAGGTGTGTTTATGCCCGGATTCGAACCCATGCCGCCACGGGACTTTCACATCTGGCAAAAGAGTACGTTACCCGCTTTCTCGCTTCTATGTATAGATAGCGAGAAATAACCAGAATAATTGTTAATGACATATATTTATAGGACGTTTTCATACACAGCACCCGTGTCGATGGGCCTACCGTATGATTGCTACCAGCAATGGATATGATTGTAAATTCATTTCTGGATTTTCACTGCTGTTCTCAGGTAGCCAATCGTAAGCAGTAATATATGCGTACGAGAGGCACAAAAGATGAGAGATTTGTCGCGCAGGGTGGTGTTGTTAAGTTAAAATCGAAGTGAACCGGTAAATAAATTACTGAGCTGCAATATACCCTTCTTAATCCCGTGGACTGACGTGATGAGAGATGATGATATTAAATCGCCGCCTTTCTAACTTCACGCCTTAAGAACAGATTATTTTATTGCTACTTTAGTTAGCGGTAGTGGATGTAGCGATTATCGATGAAACTGACGAGTAGTTGACTAGGAAGTTCCCATTGAAGCTGACAGATGGCGCCAGCGTCGGATCGGCTGATCGTATCTAGCTGAGGCTGCTTTAATCCTCGCGATGGCGTATTGGGCAACGTACTCTTTTGCCAGATGTGAAAGTCCCGTGGCGGCATGGGTTCGAATCCGGGCATAAACACACCTTGTTTCGTACTGTCAGAAATCTGTTGTTCGACAAGTTGCCTACCGGTACCTATATAAAACTAGGTTGAATGTACAGTAAGCGTTGTCACTGGTCAGTTTTTTTAACCGTACTTGTCTAGAACCGGAGATTTCAACTTGGATAGCAAATCACGCTTCAGATGATCACCAGGAGCGAACGACGACCAACCCCAGATGTTCCTTGAGCGAAATGTGGCAAAAGCTTACCTCGCAACCGAGAGTGAGAACCAGATGACAACAGTCATCTGGGTCACTCTCGGTTGCGGAAAAAACTGAAAAGAGAAGAGAGTAGAAAATGGCAAAAAAAAATATCTGACGATACATATATTGACTGTTTGCACGACAGAAAGGGAAATCATGTTTATGCAAGACTGTTACTGGCGATAGAGCGCTAATCTTTTACGATACCCGTAAGAAATTGTTGAACCCCTTTTTGTTCGGTGCCATATGGAAATATTCAAAGTCAATAGCTGCGCCTTGGAGTGGCAAAGTTTAACATAATGTTACTGGCTTGTGATAAGGCCACATCAGTCATTTGTTACTGCTTTGACGATGGATTTCCAGTAGGGAATGCTGCGTACAGCGCGGAGATTGTTTAATTGATGACCACTTATTTCAGTCAATGCAGTATATCTAGTAAGGCAGACACTTCAGAACGTGGACTGAAGTCCGTAATTGGACCGACGAACGACCCCTTCCTAGAACAATGGTCGTAGGAAGAGAGCGATATTACTTTAGCTGAAATGTACTCACTTGTTTAGAAGCTACAATAAATTAAGGCGGATAATAACAACAGAAAACTCTTACCCAGCCTAATATCTTCAAGAGAGCTTGGGAGAGAAAAGGAGAGAAAGAGAATACTAATGAACTACTTTTCAGCCAAGTGAGGTAGGGACAACTGGGCGCAACTTCAGCTATGGCTGACCAAGATCAAAAGCAGAGCTCATCCCTTTTTTAATGCTCATTATGGAAAGCGACCAAAGCAATTGGCAAAGCGAGAGAAGATCGGGCAACAAAGCAGGATTCGTCTGTATTTTATGTTGTTATGTTAATGGAGATACTAATGTGCCAAAAAGATTGATGAATAGTAGAAAAGGTTTTCTAGCATTAGGACTAGCACTGCTTAACTCCCTCTATGTAAATAATTATAATAATGTATACAGTTGTCGTGCAGGAGCCCATGCCGCAAAACAACTAAGGGTTTATGTAGAAACATGGAAAGCAGACAACATATCCTTGACCGATACTCGAACAATCGGCTGTTGTGGCTGTGATAAGGGAAGTTGAAAACCTGAAAAAAGCAGGAAAAATCATGCGTCGAAGCTATAAGGGATTTAATTCGCTTGTGTTTAGGAAATGTAAAATCTTTGATAGTGCCGAGAAAATCGGTCAGTGGTCAAACAGTAACGTGGACCACTTATACTATCGCCGAGCAAGTATTATTTTATTTGGTAATTATTCATCTATCCGTTTTCTTTGTTGCGGTTTTTTTTTTACTAGTATTTGCTAGATTGATGCATAAGTAATTCAGTCGGTTTTTCAAATATCACAAAAAAAAACAACAAAATAATTGAAGATGTAGTCATCATCATCTATTCAGCGTAAGTTCAGGTCTAGCAGTAGTCCACAAAGTAAACACTATTTATTATTTACTCTCTATAAACATAAATCGATTTTAGTGGAAGTAGATGTATGCGCTTTTTTGCCTGGAAACTTTTATATATATATATATATATATAGCGCACTCTGCGGAAAATAATGAAACCACGCAACGGGGGGTTAGTTGTTCGTCGTTGGCTGTTAATAGATGTCTTTTCAGGGGTTGCTCCGGCAGCTCTGATAACGAAATAAATAGCTAATGTGAGGCGTCTTTGTCTCTAGCCTTAAAACCGGCAAATTTTTGCATACGAGGAACGTGCTCCCCTTAAAATTATTAACTGGCATGCTTTGCGTTGACAGATCAGGTTGGAGACAAGTTAATATTATTATTTTTTTTTACGTACTAAAAGCACGAACATATTAAAAGTAAATATATCTCGTATAAAAACTTTTATTTACTTTAACGATTCCAGGGTAGATTTGTAACCAGGGCTTTGCTGCGCTTGCAGCTAAGCTACTAGATGAGACTGGACATTAGGCCTTGACGCACTGCAGCGGGACAGGCCTGGTACCTGCGCCCTAGTTAGTCTTTTACTCGTTGGCGAACACAGCACAACGCTGTTGGTTACGTCTGCATAAAATAGTCGACGTTTTTTTGGCAGCCTGTTATTTCTGATGTTGTTTCTATATGCAGATCAGGGTAGGCAGGTATGGTAGGCATTCTAGCATGTGTAGCAAAGGTCACAAAGGAACAAAAGTCCACATGAGCAAGAGGCAAAGTAACGACGGTGGCGGCAGCGACAACGTCAGCTAAGCCCTCCTAGATGCAGAGTCCTTTTTTACCAATTTGTCCGGATCGCTCCCGCTATTACGTTTTTCTGCAAACTTTTTTCTTTGAAGCTCAATCTTTATGGCCTTTTTTGTGTTGATGCACAGGCATAAATCACGTACATCGACGAGCATGCTGAAATAATTTTGTACATTGGTTGTTGGAAACAGCAATAAGGCTCATGATAATTCCGATCATAGCTATCATGATTATTGAGTTCTATTAGTAAAATGACAAACGAACTTCCATTATATTCTATGCACGATATGATGCACAACATACCCCGTTGTCGAGACTGCTGTTCCTCTTCCCGACAGAAAGCTGTACAAACGGATGTTGAGGCCACATTTTCACACGAATTCATATTAATATTTCGGAATTGGGTGTTTGGCTACTCGCAGAAGGCTAGATTGGTTTACCATACATATATCTCTTACGCACACCCCCGATTCCCATCTTGTCCATTTTACCGCGGCTTCGGCTTTTTTGTCAGGCAGACGGCGAAAGAAATGCGCAAGACATTAGTATTATTGAAAAGGTCTAAGGAGGACACCAACTCTGAAACGCTGTTTTATCGATCATCATTTAATCATCAAATACGACCCCGATTTTACGTTTATTCGAACCTGATGTTTTTGGGGCAGCGGGATCGCACCTTCCTTCAGGAATTACTGTATAAGACCGATAAGTTTCTGATATGTGTTGTGTCTGTTCGCTGTCTGTTTGTTATACAATTTATTTTCTAAGTAAAAAAATCACCGTAGGTCTCTTTGGTGTGAGTCAGATGAAAACGTAGGTTTCTCCAACAGTTAACTCGCACTGAATAAATTCAATACCACTTTTTAGCCATAGCAGGCGAAGCAAAAGTTCGCGGATAAATTTCTGACTCTCGCCCTGTCCTATTGAGGTATTTGTAAGCTAGATCTGTGAACAAGCCGTTTTACTATAGGATAAGAGCAGGATAAGGGGAGGAAGCGTGGACAGACATCCAGAGGTGAATGACGGCCGTCATAGAAGGAGCCGGCTCATTAACCGAGCGTTATCTTCAAGCTCGAAACCTCTGCAGGCAATTTAATGACTAAGACAGTACAAGGCAATGAGTGGGATGCCTTTGTATCTGGGTGTAGTTTTATCGACTGGCTAGAATCGGCAATGGTCTGGCGACAAGCTAGCTAGCGAGCGATCAATCAATTATTTTTGCCCCTATAACGTCTAAAGTCCCATGTTGAGGCTTTGGTTGGAAACATTATAGTCAGTAAACTGGGCCAGACCGATTGATAAAATGAACAATCCATACAATTGACCGAATGGTGCCGCTTTCGAACATTGCAATCATCGGCTACTGATGAAGTTGTGGGCTTTGCCTTACCTTATGGGTATTATTCACGTGCCCTATTCCAACCAACAGACACAGCTGATATGGACTGACTCCTATAATCTTATACTAGCAAGAAGAGCTGTGTGCGTTGTGGACGCTAACGAGTTTCTTGATTGAAATAAAAGTAACGACATGCTTAACAGGGAGGGCTCAACTGTTGAGTTTACCGACGAAATGAAAAGACGGACGATTACCTTACACGAAGTCCGGTGTTTTCTAAAACCGTCCACTGACACTGATACTTCTGTTTGTATATCTATCCAATCTATGTATCTAGGTGACTCATTATCAACTTTCGTTCTCGATAGAGATTGTTCAGAGAGAGCATTCATATCGTGGCCAAAGGAGTTTTCCACGAGAAAGACGTTTCAATATTCCGCGTCGTTCGCCTGCTGTCTCCATTGACCCTACATTCTATGATCCTGGATAAAAGGGGAGCCGTTACATAACAGCTGGA